TTTGAAAAAAAACGTTCTGTATGGAAGTGGCCTCAGAAAGATTTTAAAGATAAATTAATAACATCTTCTTTTTTTTAAACCTTTACATTTTCGACTCCATTATTTTTTGGGGATGTGTTTTACCAATTACATATATATATATATCAAATAAAACGACAAATTTATAATTTCCTCCTGGTATTATAAACATAAAGTATATCTAAATTACATTTTCATACCGGGAAACTCCCTCTTCTTAAAGTCCGCTTGTTTTTCGTAACAAAATATTTGGATTCGAGCAATTAAAATGGCATAATTGTTTTGTTTGCCAATTTTATTTTATTGAGCACATATGGGCGAATAAAAATGATTCGCAAAATATATTGCGAAATTATTTTCCCTTGCCACTTCACACATCGATTTTTGCGAATTCAAATCTATAATTTCGATTTCTTGTCCTAGGGAATAGAGGCTTTACAATTTTAGCTACTAGAGACCTATGGGTTTTGCTAGTGTTGTTAAACGGCTAGTTATGAGCCGATTTTTAAAAACGGCTAACTTAATATTTTGGCCGGAAAAATATTGCTTAAGCCTCTAGATTTCAATAATATATGGCTAGACCTTTGTTCCTTCTATCTTCAGGCTTGCGTAATTATTTGATGGATGAAATAATGAGTTAGCCGTTTTTAAAAATTGACTCTAAACGAGACGTTTAACAACACTAGATTTTGCTCTTTTGGTAACGAAAGTGAATAAATGAATTTATTAATCCTTTCTTTTAACAATGGGAATAATTATATTAATGTTGAATAAGAGCGCCCAAATTTATAATTTTTTCATTTCACAAAATTCATTTTTACACCCCGACTACGAAACAAGTAAAACCATTTGAATCTTTTTTCCGAGCAGAGTAGCAAAATCTTTATAAAGAAATGATGGATGAAAAAAGTTTCGTTTTTTTTCCCTTACTTCTTTCTCATTTTATGTTTTAATCTTTTTAATTCCATTCTCTCTATTTGTATTTTTTAATCTTTTTTTTTAAAAAAAAGAAGAAATATCATAATTTTATTCATTTAATCTAATTTAATTGTTTCCTAAAAGTCTTCATATATGCCACAAATCCTCAAAACATTAAACCCCATAAAAATTTCAATTACAAATAAAGAGTGAGGTTAAAATATTTTGAATTTCTTATAATTCTATTCTAAATTTAGTGGATATTTTATATATATTTACCGAGTAGAAATCAAGTTATAACTGGATATTTTCTCCTATATTATCTTTTAAACTTTGTTTTTGGTTTATTGGTTTAGGTATATTACCCCCCAAAAAAATTATTTACCAAAATCGAGATTCAACTGGAAGTTTTCTTGCAATTTTGAAGATTTTAAAATTGTATTATAAGTTTATTGGATTATTAAATATTTACCTAAATTTTTTTTTGATCACAAATAAAGATTAAACTAAAATAATATGAACAAATCCTTTAAATTTTAATTAATTCCATTTAAAAACATTAATATATTAATTATTAAATTTAAAGTGATACTAATGGTGGGACCCATTTTCATTTTGACATTCTTGGAATTTGTCGTATTATCAAGTATTTAAAAAAAAAATTAAATGATTTTGATATCCAATTACAAATTATTCAATCTGTCCTTTTTATCTAAGTGTTTTATTAAATTGGACAATATCTGTATGTACCCACTACCTCTTATAATGTTATAACACTCTTTATTTTTGTAATTTAAATTTTATAATGGGAGGTATATCAATATCAGGGCACATCGAGTCATGAGGCATATTAGAACAAACTAAATCTATTTTAAAATTAATTAGGTCTAAAATTTAATCCTATCTATAGAATATAATAAAACACGTACACAGTGGCTTATCCAGGATTTTATTTTTAAAAAGATCTGTCTTCGGGGTAGGTTCCACGGTGTATTTGCTGGCATCGCGTTTGGCCTATATTAGTCGTTATGGGGATTGATATCCAGCTTTTTTGGGATTATACTTAATTCCGTCTTTTCTTATAACTAGACTAAAATAAAAAAAATCTTGATAAGTTAAATAAATTCTTAATCTTAACTCCCAATTATTCAATTATTTGTTCAATCAAAATTTAAGAGAACGAAATAATTTATATTACCCTATATTTTATAACTTTATTTTACCTTTTCGGTAATTTATTTTTGTAATTAAAGGTTCCTAAATAGAAAACGCCTATAAAATTAATGAATTGCCCGGTATGAAAAATGTAATATAAACTAACTTTTTATATACCAAGGCAGAGTAAATTATATACCATCGTTTAACGTGCTGGGTTCAGGTTTGTCTTATTTCTAAACCATCATCTGTTTAGCTGTCTGTATAGTGTCCTCTAAACAGCTTAAAATAGACCATTTAGATTTACGTAAAATATTATTTATTTGTTACCCCCCAAAAAATTAAAATATTAAATAACAAACAATATATATTTTTAAATTACACTTATTTATTTATATATTTATAAATTTTATCAAAATAACATTATATAATTTGTGTAAAATAATACATAGCGTTAAAATACTAAATTAAAATAATATAAAATAAAATAAAATAAAATAAATAAAATATTATATAAAAACCGAGGTGGGACTACAAGTTCCCAAAAAACATGTGTAGTTATATTTTAAAATTATGATTTGGAGGTTTTGTTTTAAGAAATAAGATTCTTTAGGTTCTGATGTAAGGGCTCTTATCTTATCCCCTATATTTTTTAAAAACTTTAAAGTTCCACTTGGCATATGTCCAAGGGAAGAGATGACAATCGGTGTAAAAATATAATTTGTGAATTTGGAATATTTCATTGTTTTTTTTTTCTCGGCTATATCAACCGGATTAGAATTTAAATTTTTTGGGAAAGAAGATACGCATGTGAAGTCCCAAATTAAGGATTTCCCTAAAGACCAAGGCACGGAAGTTAAACCATCTGGTCTTAAGCCATCATCTAACGATAAATTTGTAGGCTCCAGGATGTTTGGTATTCGGGCCCTGGTAAGAGAACGGCTAATAGCTAAATTAATTGCTGCATGCCTTGCATGCCTGCCTTGACTATATATACAATTTAGACCATGTCTCCCTTTGGAGTCAACTAATGTTTTACATTTGATGCATGTATGTGGTTGAACAATGTTACATCCAAGTCGATGGCCTATGGCAACTCTTAATTGTTCATCTGATAAGAGGTTACCTAGGTTACGACTTGGTAATGCTTCCAACCATTCATAGCCACTAGTACAGTCAGCATTCTGTAATAGTTGAATATACTCCAAAGGGGGGTTTGATGAGATTATTTTAAAAAATTTTTTAATTAAAGGTTCGAAAAGAGATTGGTGTGTTAAGATCGTGGGTAAGACAGCTTCAGGTGGAGCTAAAGATGTCCAGGCTGTCAAGGCTGAGTTTAAAAGGTTATCTTTAGGAGAGATAAAAGAAGATATCATGGCGTTATTCATCAAACGCGATGCCAAAAATGAGGAAAGAGATAGAAGGTTTAAAGGATATAAATCTAAACCACCCATTTTCGAGGGTAATTGTGAGAAGCCCCAATTAAAATCTTCCAATTTAATATTTAAAATATTTTCTAATAACCTTCTAAAAAATTCATGAACACGATTAATAATTTCATTATTTAAAAAAAAGGAAGAAGATCTAAAAATATGTACTATCTTTGGTAAAAATAAATATTTTTTTAAAAGAAAAAAGCTCTGGTGTGAAGGAATTTCGTTTAAAATAGTTTCGAGTCCTGATAAGCCTTCGAAAAATTTTTCCACGAACACCTCACATTTTGATAAAATTTATAAATATATAAATAAATAAGTGTAATTTAAAAAAAAAAAAAAAAAAAACAATATATATTTAATATAACAAAAATTAAAACAAACCAAATTAGGGCGTCGTAGTTTAAAATCTGTTTGTCCGGTTAAACAGAATAATAATTAAAATCGTAAAATATCGTATGTTAACTTAATAAATATTATACTTTAAAAAAAAATAACTCAAATTTTTAACATAGTTAAAATTACCTTAAGTGTACCATAAATACATTAATAATGATTTGTCGTAAAATATTTCCATATATTTATAACAATTTTCTTATAAAATTATTTCAATTGCTGTGTAAAAATGAAATGTTTATAAATTTTTTAAAAATAAATATTTACATCAAGTTTAATAATTTTATAAGAAAGTTGTTATAAAAATATATAATTACAGCAAATGTTATTATTACGTTAATTCTAATATGTTAAAATGAAAGTTTAGGCTATATTCAATGGCTATCTAAGTATATTTCTTTAATAAATAAAAATCTAATGAATAAAAATTTTAAATTTTTTTAAGGGGATCTCTATTAAATATGCCATATATTAGTTAGAAGTATTCCAGAGTTTCTAGTTTATCTAAAAGTTGGGTTAGAAAACTTGTAAATCTAAAAATTCGGAGGTTCTTGCGATGGATTGAACCCAAACATTTTAGAGAGAAGAATGCGTATCTATCAGATTGTGGCCTGAAGCCAGATGATTTAACTACATTATTTTGATCAATAAAATTGGATATTAATTTTTAAAATGAGAGGTTTAACGAAGGAAATTACGTAAGAAATTTTGACAGGTATAATCAGAGGTTCAATAAAAATATTAATATATATATTATAATAATAATTCACAACAAGGTCAAAACAATAGAGACTGCAGACAAAATACAAATCAACCATATGATAATAGATTACATAAAGAAATTGATAAAACTATAAGTCATAGAGTTAAAAATAAAGATTTTGACTCGCTAAATATAAGCGTAAATAACATGAACTGAAGATTTTAATGGCAAAGATAACAAGCGAATTAACTTTGAAATTGAACAATTTTACAAAATTCATGCAGGTCGACATAGGATCCAGATTTACCATAATACCCAGTTTGATAACTAAGAAAGGCGCTACTAAATAAAGAAATTTAAGTTCAAATTAACAGATTATGACGGCAATCAAATTAACAGATTATGACGGCAATCAAATTAAAATATTAGGTACAACGCAAATCAATGCAAATAATAAAAGTTACTTGGAAGCTACAAGTTTTAAATAATACGCGATTTAACAAATATTAGTAGTATTAAAACGCGTAATCAATTCGTATTAAAAATGATAAATTTCTCATTATTTTTCATATATTCTTATTCTATTCTTAAGGACGATTCAATTTTATTTCAATTCTTATTATTCTACCCATGAACATACAATAAATTATGATGATAACGATTGAGAACAACAAATAATATAGGACGAGAAGGGCAAAAAGTAAAGTGTTACGATATTCACAGTAAAACATGAAAAAAACAAACATGACATGAACAGCAGTGAGGAATTGACAGGGAGAATAAGTTAAAAAGATAGATGTTACGAATGAACTAATTGTTTATTTATTATTTGTTCTAATATATTATTTAAATTGATTTGTTTCACAAAAATATCCTTTCCACTAATATATTTATTTCAATTAATCTGTTTAACAAAAATATCATTTTTGTGAAAAGCTATTACTTTTATTTTCCTCATTTTAATATTATTATTCAAATATTTTAAATTACTTTACTTTAAAAATAGTATATATTTATATATATAGCATTAATAATGAAAGCAGGGCTGGCACACCCATGCATAATTGATTTGTCTCAAGATCAAAAATAAGAGGCTGGCAGTTCTTTGTACCAATATTGATATTTTAATTATATTTTTTATTTTGAAACAAACTATATATAAGTAAACAAAAACAAAGTACACACTTTTGTGATAATATTTGGGAAATGATTAGCTACACCCGGGGAAGAATAAGCTTTCTCATGAGGTGCTTTTGAGCTGCTAATAATGATTATTTTTAAAAAATGATATATATATATATATTATTGCAACTACTTTATTGATAAAAATAAGCCATAATAGAAAATAATTATAAATAATTAGTAAAATTTATTGACAATTTTATCAAATAAGGATTGGATAAAAATTGGTAGGATCCATGTGCCCAAAAGGAGAATTTGTTTTTTTTTCACTTTCATGAATATTTATCTTGATGTAAGCAATTTAAATCTTTTTGCTTCATTAATCTTGATTTATATCTTATTACTGTTGCAAAACCTAAGCTTGTTTTCTCCGGAAAGGCTAGTACAAATTTTCATTAAATTTATTAATGATTTCATCATTTATTAGTTGTTTCTTCTTTCTAATATGATTTCTTACCATATTCAAATTTCAATAAGCAAAAAATAAACTTAAAAAAAACGTTCTCTTAACAGACCCTCAAATATAATTTAAAATTTAATTTTCTAGTAGTTTAAAAAAAATATATTTTATTCGAATAAAGAATAATTTTATAGAGAATAGGATTTAATCTTATATATAAGATAGTTATTGGATAATTAAAACCTTTATATTACTCTAGTGGGTATATATCTTATATTATGTTAAAAAATTTAATATGTTATCTGATATTAAAAAAAATTATAGCCCGCATATGTATAATGTATTTTTTTTTTAGTTTCGACTAAAAGTGGTTTGATAGATGACTTTAATCGCAGTATAAATCCTTGCGATGATTTCTACGCCTACACCTGTTCCAATTGGATGTCGAAGCAAGCATCGACACATTTCTTGACTCAAAAATATCAGGTTTCGCAAAAGAATAGGAAAATGATTCATGATTATTTAGGTGAGTTCTTCAATTATAAAATTTATCAGTTAAATTAGTAAAAATTTAGATTTCAACTTTAAATAAATTCATAATGTTGATTTTGTTCTTCTTTGTGAAATAATTTTATTTAAACAATGGTTTTTAATTTAGAAATAAAATTCAAACTTAAAACGATAGCAGAATATAATATATTTAAACAAAAAACAAATAAGAATATATCAAAAATTATCATGAAAAAAAATATATGATAAAGTCTATTTTATTAATAATAAGGCTATTATCAAAAACCAAGCAGAAATAGCTAACCGAAAATTCCTTTAAAATAAAAATTGCTCCTTTTTTTTCTTTCAAATTTTATATACAGATAGACATTATACTTATATTTGTACAAAATCTTAGATTAAGACACATACTGGGCCAAGAGTTATTACACTTTATATATAAGCTAGCATATTATTATACTAAATATGTAGTATTTATTTTTTTTAAAAGTGGGCAATTATATGTGAATAATGACATTTACCAAATTGTATTGTATTATATATAAATATAATGCGTAACGCCTTAATTATAACGAATAATAAGATTTTGTAAAAATATAAAGTAACAATAACAATTAAGATAATAAAAAGTGAGCACAATCATCTCTTATATCGAATAAAAACAAAAATAACTTTATAAACCTTTACAACCATTAAAATAATTTTGGGATCAAGACAGGCAAAATTCCTTGCGATAGTTTATGGGGGATTACTTCTAGCAGCTAGCGCAAGCCAGCAATGTCCTTATGAAGATCATATACTAACTCCGATGGATTAATATAATTATGCGAGAATCAATATCCCGGATATTAATTGTATATTTGTCAGCAGCGTTGAATATTTGAGAATGGAAACCAATATCGAAAATAGGGTTGAATCTTCAGTTGATTTGATATGGAATGCAACATATATAAATTTTATATAAAAAGAACTTGAGAAAAAGTTACATATCACCCTAGAAAGAATGAATGCTAGAAAATTGGACCGATAGATTTCGAGAGAAATCTGCTGACAAAGTTAGAATCCTTCGTTGGGAGTCGCATGCAATCTATCTCATAAGGGCCTCATTTCCTAAAATACCTAAGATGTTGGTAACAATTAGTATGAAACTATGTAAGGCCAGCACACTGTTTCTTTTAAGACGTTTGCCTTTTCGATAGCAGAAAATGATGAGGGGTTAGTCTTGGCGCAAAATTGATACAAGTGTAATCCCAAGTCAATGGGAGATCGTTCGTGTGGATATACTCTCCATGTCTAGGGAGTTTCATTTGAAAGGCCTACTGATTCAAGAGTGGATGAGATATTACCTGTTTTGAGAACAGCTAGGAGAATGTTGTTAATAGATTTATGTTGTTGTTACCGTTCGCTGAAGAACTTGCACTGCAAGGTTTATAAATTAATATATAACTACCAATATATGATTAACATGATTAATATAAAGATTAGTAATTTAATATATTTATTGAACAATAATTTAAAAAAATAATATTACAATAATTATTTTTTATTAGCAAAAATAATATATAAAATTTATTATGTTATGGAGAGAAAATTAAAAATAAAATAAACGACTTCACAATTTTCGGTCGATTTCAAACATATATTTTTTATTTTTTAAAATTGAATTATATAATGAAAACCTACATTTAATTTATTCAAATATTAAATTTGTTTACTTAGTGAATATTTTAACTTATTTCATTTTAAATCCTATTTTATTTTTAGTAATTTTTGAAAGCAAAAATAAAAGTTTCTTTTTTTTTAAGTGAAGAAGATGTAAGTTAATTGAAGAAAAATGAATAGGAACATCGATATAATTATATTTATATAATCATTAGAATTTTAGAAAATGGTTAATAATAAAAAAATAATTATTTAAGTTAAAAAAAAATTGTAGTGTCACTATAAAAATCGACTTGCAAAAGGTATTCGTCAAATTATTTATTTGTAGTTTTCGTCAAAGTATTTTGTATTTAAATAGGCATTATTTAGTATTTATATTTAAAATACTTTTTTTTAAAAAAAAATGTATTTGTTGCGCAACCTTGAATACACTGCTTTTGATAACATATGTATAAACAATTACTCATATCAAAATTATATTAACAGTTGCCAGCGAATCGCCTCGACTTAAATCTTCCGCTCAACAAAACGCTGCCAATTTTCATAAATCTTGTATGAATAGATTTAAGTTACCAAATAAAAATTTTACATACAATTACAATAATGTCTTCGAAAATATATTCAAAGTTGACCTTTGGAAAAATGTTCCAAAATTTATGAAAGCCAACAAATATGGCTCCATTAGACGAGTCATATTCAACTCTATTAATTCCAGTATCAAAGAATGTCTTAGAAAGGCTCCTAGAACTTCATCTCCAACATGCTGGCCCTTGCAAAAAACATTATCCCAAATGGGAATATCCCCAGCTTTAATAGTTATTGGGCCTGAGTTGATAGTCAATGATAAAATAGTAATATCTATTAAACCTGGTATCCCTAACTTGGATTACCGAGATTATTCCAACCGGAATATATTAAATCCTTATAAAAAATACGTTAAAAAACTATTGGGAGATACTTTAAAATTAAGATCCCAGGAAATAGATGGTGTAATTGATTTTGAAAAGAAACTAAGCCAAGTATATAAATTTTTTATTAATATATATTAAATGAAAGGACGTAAAAATTTTATTTTATTTTTTTTTTAGTTTAGAGGAATAAGTGAAAGTATGGATGACGGAAAAAGTGAATTTCTGAGAGTCGCTGATTTAGATAAAAGATTTCCCTTTGTAAGCCATTTTGTATGTTTCAATAAAACATTCCTGTTTTTCTTGTTTTTTTTAATCGTTTTTTTTTAAAGTATTATAAGTAGTGTTGTTAAACGGCTCAATTTGAGCCTATTTTTCCTAACCAATATTTTATCTTACCCAAGTCTAAAGATTTTTCTCAGAGATGTCCAGAAGATCTAAAACATCTAATATCAAAATCTCGAGAAGCAATATTTTTACGGCTAAAATAGTGAGTTTAGTTTTTTTTAAAAATCGTCTCAAAACGAGTCCTTTTTAACGATGCTAATTAAAAATGATGACTTATTTTTCAATTTGATTATAAATTATTATTTTTTTAAAAAAAATAACTTTTTTTTAAAAAAATAACATTTTTTTGCCAAAATATTTAATATTCAGATGAACTGGTCAAAATATCTAGCCGATATGTTTAAGTCTTACAGTCTTTCCACCAATTTTCAACCTATAGTTCGTGTGTCTTCTATCGAATATTTTGAAAAGTTACAAAATTTAATTTCACAGAGGGGAAACGATATTCATTTTTTCAAGTTATTATTTATATATGACTTTGTTTCCCACTATATTAAATTAATATTATGATTTTTAAAAAAAAACATATTAATTTGCAATTCACAATTGAATTGTTTTAATATTAACCCAAACTATAGGTGTATCCAGGATTCCAGCATGAAAGGGGATACGATGACTTTTCGCTATAAATATAAAAGGCAGGGCTTAACCCTGCACTCACAGTTAGAGCGAATTAGCGGCAAAGTATATAAAAATATAGTGTTTTTTGTATATTTTGATGGGAATTAGCACTAACTATGAATGAGGGTTATATTATTTTGCAGTTCTTTTGGTTGGATTACATTATTTGAAAAATTTTGTTTTAAGCCTAATAATGTTTAAAAAAAATTTCATTTATAGTTAAAAAGATATATTATAAATAGTTTTCTAATGTTATCATTTTTAACATATAAATTATATTCATATAGGGGTGGAGGGTATGGGAATACTATTTAATTCCTTAAAATAATATTTATCAAAACTTGCGAATTTTCTAATGAAGGATCATATTATTCTTGGCTACGCCTATAAACTGACCGGTAGTATATTATAAACTATAAACAGTTTTATCAAAAAAATAATACTGTATGGTTTCCTGCATAACATATTTTTGTATACAAAATTTGAACTATACCAACATCAATAAAATATAAAAATAGTTGATTTATTTATATACTAATTTATTCATTTATTTATTTATATCCTCTTTCGGCATATTAGGAGGGTGAATGATTATTTGATGTTCTCTGTTCTCAATGAATGGATATTATTATTGCCTTACAAATATAAAACACCCGAGTTCAAGAGCATAAGGGAATATTTCCTAAATCCTTTAAGCGATACACCCATAAATAAATATTGCTTTGATCAAACGGAAAAATTCTTTCCAAATGCGCTTAAAAGTATGTATTTAGACAAAGTGTATAGTGAGGAAAAAGTAAATTTGGTAAGTTTATTTCTGTAATATACAATAATTTAATAATATAAAAATATTTGTTAAAAATTGATTATATGCTTACAATTACAAATGAATCTTTCTCAAACTAAATAAATAAATATGTTATACATATAAATGATTTATTTAAATCTCAAAAGACTCTCGAAATATTCAATGAATTGAAAAGAACGTTTATTACTGAATTGAATACGATAGATTGGCTAGACCTGCCCTCCAGGAACGCTATAATTAGCAAAGTTACTTCTTTTTCAAAAATAAATTACCAAAATCAGATGTAAGAATTGTAGAACTTATAATTTTTCGATGAGGCATTACTAAATTACGCAAAATAATGAGAAACGCAAAAAGAACTTAAAAGTAGCAAAATTTCTAAAGTACGTATAAAGTGCCCAAAAAATTTTTTAAAGCTCGCTAAATGGCAAAAAATGACGCAATTAAGGGAAGGGAGATGACAAAAAAAAATTAGAATAGCACTAAAATAACGTTAAGAGGGTAAAAATAGTTTAAAAAAACAAAAAACGGGCAAAATAAATTCTCAAAATTTCAAAAGAAACACTAAAAGATCTTAAATGCAAAAAAGGGGGTATTTAGAGCTATAAATTTAAATTAATTAATAAATTATATGACTAGATTACGAAAATGACCCTCATTCCAGATCAGCCTGATAGCATTGTTGAAGATCTTGCGGTATATTAAACAATATATTAATTAATTTATTTATGCGCTATGATTTTAATGGTTAATTGGAATAAAATTCCTCTTACATTATTTTTCTCTATATAATTTCCGGGAATAACTTCATCTTGTTGGGGCAAGAATTTAAACGGAGAATACAGTATTTTGTAGAATTCGCTAACTATGAGTGAGGTGGGGTTATAGTTTTTATTTTAATCATTTTTTTTAAAAAAAATAAAATAAAATCTATCATATATTTTAATTAATCATGAAAAAACATGGTTGAGAAGGAATTCAGACAAAAATTGGTTATTAATTTAATAAGGTATAATAAGATTAATAAATCCATTTTTAAAGTAGAGTTTCAAAAAAAAATCTTAACAAAATCTTCTGAGGAAAAATCTTTCAAGTTTTTATTTTGGAGAAGAGAGATTTTAGATCAAATTTTTTTTAAAAATGCCAAAATCTTTTATTTTTTTTTGTAATTTTCATGCACAAAAAAAATCTTGCAAAATGAAATCAAAATAATTTTCAAAGAGGAAATTGAAGATTTTTTTTTAAAACTCTGCTTTAAAGACAATATATTTAATATCACTATTATATTAAATCAGAGACCTGTATGCCCGGCCCGGCACAGTCAGACCTGGGATTTTTTTAAATATACCCGGGCCGGGCCTTAAATTAAAAACCAATATTTTAAATAGCCATTATTAGCGATTAAAAATAAATATAATATATTAAAATCCGGGACGGGCCTGAATTACCTCTGCTGGTCTCTGTATTAAATTAAGTAATATCGTGAGAACAAAATTTCATGTATTTAAAATATTATATTAGATACTGTGTTTTATTATAAGGCAGATTACAATTGACCCTCTTGATTTCAATAAAAATGTTTTTGCATTAACGCGGTTACACAATGCAGAATTACTAAAATTGGCGATCAACCAAAATCACAGGTGTTATATATATTATAAATTTTGTATTATATAATTAATTATAATACAAAATTCATCTTCTTACGAACCAAATAAAAGTTTTGAACCGATCCGAATAATAAATATGACTAATGTTACAAAAAATATTCATAAATATTTAACAATTAAGAAATAGTTATTTTTCATTTTTTTTTAATTGTGAAAATTCCTCCCCCCCCCCCCCACCCGACTCCCATGAAATTTATTAGTTAATGACATCTTGCAGAGTTATAATGCTTTAATGTTAAAAAAATTTTAATATTAAAAAGGTAGAATAGGCAAGGAACATATGCGAAAAATTATTTATATCTAAAAATATCAAAATCATTTATATTGGCATTTCAACATTTCACATTTTTTATAACTTTTGAAAAGTAGATTTTTACATAATGTTTTCTTTTACCAACTCCATTTGATGTTCTAGTTGATTAGTATAGATATATGGGTGAAGGGGGGCACGGGCCCTTATATCCTAAAAAGATATGTCAGGCATAATTAGTGTTGTTAAAAATGTATTTGAGCTGATTTTAAAAAACGGCTAACTCAATGTTTTATCCAGAAAAATATTACGCAAACCTAAATAATTTTATCATAGATGGCAGAAAGTGGACATCATTTGGCTAAATCTCGAGGCTTATGCAATATTTTTCTGGTTAAAATATTAGCATAAATCGAGCTGTTTAACAACAGTAGCTGTAATAAAAAAGATTTGGAAATCATGGTGTTACTTATTTGTTACATGGTTATAAATCTGAATAAATTTTTTATAAGTTGAACTTTATAGTATGTTTTGTCCTGTGTAAATTTTGAGAAGTCACCCCCCCCCCCATCCTCCGAACCCCCAAAAAATAAAATTTAAATGAAATGAAATGAAATATCTTGCGATATTAGATATCTAGTCATTTCGACGACTGGGGATGGGAGAATTTATTTAACAAAATTATATTTAACAAAAAAACATGTTCAATACAATTTAAAACTATCATTTTATTGAAAGCAATTTAAAAAAAAAAATATGGTTGCCGAAAATACATATTTGTAAAAAAATAAGAGAATATTATATACAGCGTCTACATGATAGGATCTTCACTGGATGCAAACCCCCTTCAAAAACCTTTACCTACCCCCTAAAAAATTTACGCCGCGGCGGCGGTGTCTTTTTATCATTATTTTCACCTATTTATTTATTGAATTTATAAAGTATAACATCTATCTCTACTACCAACTATCGATATTTTGTGAATATAAAGAATTTATTTTTTAGATAATAAATTCAGTTAAAACCTCCATTATTTACAATGAATTAATTATTATGGCATTATGAGCTTGCTGAAATATCTAAACCTTTTAAATTACATTTAAAAGGATAGTTTATTTGGAAAACAATGTGTATGATTGTTTGCAATATATAGATTTGGTCGATGAATTGTATTATAATAATTCTATAATAAAAGTATTAATTTTTACAGCAATAAATTTTGTCCTATTTCATCTCAAAATTTAATAGATAACCCCCAAAAAAATTTATCCTACCCCCATTAAAGCAGCTTACCCCCTACCCCCTCAAAAAAATAGGATGCAAAATGTTCCTACCCCTCTCGCTCATGTAGACGCTGATTATATATATTTCATATTTCCCAATAAATTTTATTTTTATTTTATAGAGTGGGCATAGGAAAATAATACACACATTTTTCTCGTTTAACATTTAACATATAATATCCACCCTTTTTCAATTTGTATATAAGTAATATACATTAAAAGTTATTTAAACTATAAAAAAAAAGAATCCACTTATTTAGACATTATTTTTAAAGTTTCGCCTTAAACCGGATATGCCTATTTTGTCCGTTGAGTGTTTTAGTGTTCTATATTCACTTATTTGTATTTTTCTGATAGAGCAATCAACATCTGTGTTCTTATATAACACCAATAAAAATGTTAGAATAAATTTAGAATTATCCTTTGTGAATATTTATTTTTTAAAATGCTTTCCTGAAAAATTAGAAAAAATAGATAGAACACTACGATACTCGATTTATATCTCTTATAGTTTCTCTCCATTTTGTATGATTGGGCAATTACTATATTTTTAGCCCTTTAAGCCAATTTTTAGTCGGCTAAAAAATCGGTTAAACCAAGTTTTTAGCCGAAGACTATCACTTTGATGTCGGAGTTTTTCTTAAAAAGAGAAGCTTTAAATTTGGAAGAAAAACTAAAACGCCCTAATGTTAATAGATTTTCTCCGGCAAGCGCCTGAATTGAGTCGAATTAGCTGAAATTTAACTATTCCCAAACTATATTTTTCAGTCATAGTGATTTTTTTAGTAGTATAATTAAATTTAAAATAGGGCACTAATTTAAAAGTCAATTTTTTTACCATGTCTCTGGAAAAAAAAGAGGCAATATATCACTAAAAAAAACTAAATAATAATGACAAATTACATATATTAAAATTGGTATATTTACAATTATGCAATGATTTTGGAATATAAAAATATTAAATATTTTATAAGTATAATAAGGAGGTTAGGTGTAGTAACTCCCCCTTCCCCCAAAATTTTGAATTTTTGATGATTTATCTATTGACCGGATTTGTACCATATTTGTATCGTCAGCCTCGCAATATACCTATTTTTCCAGATATTGACCGTTGAAATTTTGGCTATAAAAATAATAAAATTTCGAATTTTCTTTTTAAATAGAAAGCAATAGAAAACTTTCTTTCCTTCCACAATAATAGTAAAAATCGAACTGAAAATGATACAAACCTGATATTCATCACTTCAAAAAGATAGCCATCAAAAATTCAAAATTGTGCGGTCGATTTCATGGGCCTATAAAAAGGCGCATTTTAAGTTAAGCTTGTTTTAAAATAATATATAAATAATATCGAATTCGATATATATTTTTTTGGCAGAATTAAGCATGCGCAAAAGCAAAACTTTACATTTAAAAATCCATTATTTAACTTGATTATTAGATATTTTGGTCGAGAACAAATGGCTTATGATGAGAAGGTGCATTATGATGTTAACCGAAATAAAATATGTAATCTAAATAATATTGTAATTAATAAATGTAATAGGATAGGATTGAGAGATAATTTTAAGAAAACAGCAATAAGATTATATATGATTACGAATTAATTATGTTGCTAACTGATAAATTAGGGCAAGTGATAAGAAAAAGAATATTAATACTTTAAGGTATTTATGGAGTGGAAGTAAACTATACTATAGAAGACTCTTAAATATTAACTATATTATTTTTTTAAAAAATACTAATCTAATTCTGATATTAAATTATAGATATTACTTATCAGACAATCGATGCAAGTGTGGGATCACAAAAAAGCAGGCATTTTTAATTTTTTTTTAATATACGTGCAGAGGTACTATTTAAATAGCCCGGTCTGATCTAAAATATTTGCCCCGATCCGGCCCGATATTTTAAAAATGAAATACAGCCAGGACCGGGGGAGGGGAAGTTTAGGGTCGAGTGAGCAGGTCTCTTATATTAATCATATTTTTATTGCGTATTATATTTTCATAATAAGGTCATTCACATATGGAGCATTAGCTACATTATTAGCACATGAATTATTTCACTCTTTAGATCCCAATGGTAATGATAAATTTTAAAAACAATATTAAATTCATGCAAAAAAAATAGGAATAGATTTTGACGAAGAAGGTGTTAAAAGAGAATGGATAACTCCAGCAACTAAGCAGCTTATTAAAGAAAAAATGAAATGCTTTATTCACAATGAATCTTATACATTCAATGGGAAAATTGTGGTAAATATTGAGCCTTATTATCCTTTTTGAATTTTCTTTAAAAAAAAAGACAAAAGAAAATCAACTTGAAGAGATCATATCGGATGTTAGCTCACTAAAATTAGCGTACAAAGTATAATAAAAATGGCATTTGCATAACCTGCTTCAGTAATATACAAATATTACAAAATTCTTTAAATTTGATGAGAGCTCCCTCCCCCTCCCATGTATTGAATTTGAATTGCAATTATTCTTG